TCTCTCTCTCTCTCTCTCTCTCTCTCTCTCTCTCTCTCTCTCTCTTTCTGTCTCAGTGTGCCGTTAAGCCATCATACAGATTCAATGTATTTTGTGGAATGATTGTGATATGGTTTATACTAAACCAGGAGATAAAAGTTTTTCTAATTTAAAATGAAAACTTTTCATTTACGTAGAATTTCTCCAGGACGCTCTGCATCCACCCATTTATCCGAGCGCAGTGAGACATGGACTGGTCATAGTCCTGCAGTAGAAATAACTTGCAAGTTCTTGTGTTGTTAAATTTATGAGCAGCTGGGTATAGACAGATCTTGTAGTTAAGGACCGTGTTACAGGATGCAGAATCATGTGAATCTCTTCATGAGGTGAGCGTGGTCATGCTCACCGTTCTTCTTTCATGGCTGTCTTAGGACTCAGTGGCTTTTGAGGATGTAGCTGTGAACTTCACCCATGAGGAGTGGGCTCTGCTGGACGCTTCTCAGAAGGAACTATACCGAGATGTGATGCAGGAAACCTTCACTAACTTGGCTTCTATTGGTAAGAATGAAATTCCTTAAACCTAGTTAATTAAAGAACAAATGTTTCTTGCTCATGAATGAGATTTCACTATTCAGCATGTGGCAAAAGGAATACTTTGGTAAGTAAGTATGCTAGATTATGATGGTTCCCCGTAGACCTAGAACCTATGAATTTTTCTGTCATTTGTAATTTTTTTTCCTTTTAGGGGAAACTTGGGAAGACCAGAGCACTAGGGATCAGTGCAGAACTTGGAGAAGAAACAGAAGGTGAGTTGTACTCATCAAAGAAACTGGAGTCCTATAATGGAGTCTTAGTATGTCATTGGAAAGAACAACAAAACTCCAATTTCATGTTTATTTATTTATATATATTTAAATATATTATTAATTATATATTATTTTTATCATAAAATATAAATATTTATTTATTTTGGGTTTTCAAGACAGGGTTTCTCTGTATAGCCCTGGCTGTCCTGGAACCCACTCTGTAGACCAGGCCAGCCTTGAACTCAGAAATCCACCTATCTCTGCCTCCCAAGTGCTGGGATTAAATATTTATATTTTAAGTAAAATATATATTACATCTTGTTGTTGAAATTAGTATAATTTCAACCAAGAGTTTCTACCCAACCTTTGACCCATTAGTTCCTGGACAAAAGACACAAACAGCCTTTATATTTATAATAAGCCTTAACTAGCACAAGAGCTGGGCAGATGCCTACCCTCTATGCTATTAGAATCTACTTTCCTATCCATAACCCCAAATTATTACTACTGTTTACTGTGTTTCATCTGGGCTGCTGTTGACTAGCCCTCAGGGTCACATTTTTATGGCTCATCTAACCCATGGCAGCTTCTCCTTCTTCCCCCTGCACCTTCTTCTCCTAGGACCCGAAGCCCAGGAAACCTAAACCCACCTGTGTCTCTTCTGCCCAGCTATTAGCTGTTGGCATGTTTATTTACCAATCAGGAATAACTTGGGGGCAAGGTCTGTGTGGGGACTCTCTCCTCTCTGGGACAACAGGCCTCACTCAGGTGCTGGGGGCCTTCACTTAGCATTACAATAACCAACAAAAGACCAAACCTCAGCACCTATTTTAGAAGACTTCCATGACTTTTTAAGATTTTGTTTTTGGTGCTGGAGGGTTGACTGAGTGATTAAAGGTACTTGCTGCTCTTGCAATGGACCCGGTTCGGTTCTAAGAACTGAAATCAAGTGATTCACAACCTCTAGTAACTCCAGCTCCAGGAGATATGATGCCCTCTACTGGCTCCCATGGGTACTGTACCCACATTTTACACATACAGACAAGCAGGTGCATATACATACGTAGTTAAATATGTAAATATTTATTTTAAATTATTTGTGTCTGTATGGGTTTGTGGATATTCGTGTATTGCCTGAAGATTGTCAGAAAAGTGTTACCTGGAGTGACATGCCGTTGTGGGTTGCCCAGTGTGGGTGGGAACCACACTCAGGTGCTCTGGAAGATCAGCAGATCATTTCTTTCCCTTTTTAAAAGTTTTTTCTTCTTTTTATTATTTTGGTAAATATTTATTTATTTTATGTATATGAGTGCACCATTGCTCTCTTCAGACACACCAGAAGAGGGCATCAGACCCCTTTGCAGATGGTTGTGAGCCACCATGTGGTTGTTGGGAATTGAACTCAGGACCTCTGGAAGAGCAGTCAGTGCTCTTAACTGCTGAGCCATCTCTTCAGCTCAAGTTTTTTTTTTCTTAATTTATGTGTCTCTGTGTGGGCATGTACACACAAGTGCAGATTCCCACAGAAACCAGAGAGCATCAGATTCCCTGGAGAGCCAGAGTTAAAGGGGATTATGTGCACCGCATGTGGGTGCTGGGAGCCAAACTCAGGTTGTCTGTAAGAGCAGCCAGTGCTCTGTTTCATATAGGTTTTTTCTTCGTTGTTTTTCATTTTTTTTGAGACAGGGTTTCTCTCTGTAGCCCTGGATGTCCTGGAATTCACTCTGTAGATCAGGCTAGCCTTGAACTCACTGAGATGCACCTGCCTGGGCCCCCTGAGTGCTGGGATTAAAGGTGTGCACCACAGTCACCCAGCTCACCAAGAATTTTTCAAAATGACACAGCTGTGCTGTCTTCAAAGGATAACTCCCACTGAAACAGTATTAAGAAACTGCATGTGAAAACAGAAAAAAAAGAAACAACACATTATGAATGTCACTTAATTTTTTTTAGATGTACTTATTTTATGTGTATGGATGTTTTGCTTCCATGTATGGGTATGTACATGCCTAGTACACGCAGAGTTTAGAACGTGGTGGCGCCTTTAGATCTGGGTTCACAGGCTGTGAGCTGTTACATGGGTGCCAGGGACAGAACCTCAGTCGTCTGCAAGAGCAACAAGTGCTCTCAGCTGCTGAGTCACCTCTCCAGCCCCAGGATCTCTGCTTTCATAAGATCTCTGCTTACACTCTTTCAGAGTACTCATTGTGTACATGCTCCTTGAAAATAGAAAAAGTATAATATGTTTTTGACATCCTTAATTATAAAATTGTTAATAATATGATTCTCATTCTCACAGTGCTCATGTAGAACAGAGACCCTGTGAATGGAAAAGTCCATGCCCGGAACTCTTCACCCAGGTTCCAGTTGTTAAACAGAAGAATGTTCTCCCCGGAGTAAAACCCTGTGAATGCAGCGTATGTGGAAAGGTTTTCTCCTGTCGTTCCTCTCTTAAAAGGCACATGCAGTGTCATACTGAGTATATAGAGTGGTTGAGTCACAAATACGGAATAAAGTCATACCAGTGTAAGGAGTGTGGGAAAACATTCAGCTTTCGAAGTTCCTTTCGAATACATGAGAGGACCCACACTGGAGAGAAGCCGTATAAGTGTCAGCAGTGTGGGAAGGCCTTCAGCTGGCCCAGTTCCTTTCAGATACACGAGAGGACCCACACTGGAGAGAAGCCCTACACATGTAAGGAGTGCGGCAGATCCTTCATTTATCACACCACCTACCAAGGACACATGAGGATGCACTCCGGAGAGAAGCCCTACAAGTGTAAGGAGTGTGGGAAGACATTCAGCCACCCCAGCTCCTTTCGAAACCATGAACGGACTCACTCTGGAGAGAAGCCCTATGAGTGTAAGCAGTGTGGGAAAGCCTTCAGATATTACCAGACCTTTCAGATACACGAGAGAACACACACCGGAGAGAAGCCTTATCAGTGTAAACAGTGTGGGAAAGCTCTCAGCTGCTCCACGTCTTTTCGAAGTCACGAGAGGATTCACACTGGAGAAAAACCATATAAATGTAGAAAATGTGGCAAAGCCTTTAGTTTCCCCAGCTCCTTTCGCAAACATGAAAGGATTCACAGTGGAGAGAAGCCTTATGACTGTAAAGAATGTGGGAAAGCCTTCATTTCTCTCCCAAGCTTTCGAAGGCATATGATAATGCACACTGGAAACGGGCCCTACAAGTGTAAAGAGTGTGGGAAAGCCTTCGATTGTCCCAGCTCATTTCAAATTCATGAGCGAACACACACGGGAGAGAAGCCCTATGAGTGTAAGGTGTGTGGGAAGGCCTTCAGCTGCTCCAGTTCCTTCCGCATGCATGAGAGGACACACACGGGAGAGAAGCCCCATGAATGTAAGCAGTGTGGGAAGGCCTTCAGCTGCTCCAGTTCTGTCCGAATTCATGAGAGGACTCACACTGGAGAGAAGCCCTACGAGTGTCAGCAGTGTGGGAAGGCCTTCAGCTGCTCCAGCTCCTTCCGCATGCATGAACGGATTCACACTGGAGAGAAGCCCTATGAGTGTCAGCAGTGCGGGAAGGCCTTCAGCTTCTCCAGTTCCTTTCGCATGCATCAGAGGGTTCACACGGGAGAGAAGCCGTATGAATGTAAGTGGTGTGGGAAGGCCTTCAGCTGCTCCAGCTCCTTCCGAATGCATGAGAGGACTCACACGGGAGAGAAGCCCTATGAGTGTAAGCTGTGTGGAAAGGCCTTCAGCTGCTCCAGTTCCATTCGGATCCATGAGCGAACACACACGGGAGAGAAGCCGTATGAGTGTAAGCAGTGTGGGAAGGCCTTCAGCTGCTCCAGCTCCTTCCGCATGCATGAGAGGACACACTCGGGAGAGAAGCCCTATGTGTGCCAGCAGTGCCACAAGGCCTTCAGCTGCTCCCGTTCCTTCCGCATGCATGAGAAGACCCACACGGGAGAGAAGCCCTATGTGTGTCAGCAGTGTGGGAAGACCTTCAGATGTGCTCGCTCCTTTAGAATACATGGAAGAACTCATAATGGACAATGATCCTTTAGATGCAAATCATGTGATAAAACTTTCCATTGTCCCATTGCCCTTTGAAGATATGAAAAGATTCTTGCTTAGAGAAACACTGTGAACAAAATAAAACTGGAAAACCTTTCATTTCTCTAGTTGTGAGTCCCACAAAACCCCTGTGACTGTACGTGATGGGGAAGCCTTCAGTGGCTATGCAGCTTACTGAGGCCACATAGATACATGCGTGGGGAAAGAAGCCCTGTGCGGTAAGTAATGTGTAAAAGCCCTCAGTTGCTCAGTTATCTGGGAATCACAAACTCGTATTACAGGGTAGCTAGAATGTGAGCATTGTGGGAAAGCATCAGTAGACTGCATTGTTTAAACACGAAGAGATTCACTGCAGAGAACCCTTAAAAAGTGAGAAATGATGATTCTTTTCCCATGTTATTGAATGCTCACATGATACTTATTTGAGAAATTGTGAATTCATGAAGACAACCATTGGAAAGGAATTCTATAAGTGTGGACAATATTGGGAAGTTTCATGTAAGTTTGTATGTATATTATATATTCTTGAAAAGGCATAAAATGAAAGAAATGGAATTTTCTTTTGTCAGATGCTCATTCTTAACACTGTGATTCTGTACTATATATTTCTGTTAGTTTGTTTATATGAACATTGAGGTTAGATTATTCTGTTTTTGTTTTGGTTTGGTTTTTTTGGTTTTTTCGAGACAGGGTTTCTCTGTGTAGCCCTGGCTGTCCTGGAACTCACTCTGTAAGACCAGGCTGGCCTCGAACTCAGAAATCTGCCTGCCTCAGCCTCCCAAGTGCTGGGATTAAAGGCCTGAGCCACCACTGCCCGGCGAGGTTAGATTATTCTGAAAGTCACCATTAAACAATAGTACATACATTTAATAAATAGTATGTTGGGTTTTTTTTGGGGGGGTTGACAGTTATTTTTAAAGATTTATTTATGTATTTTATGTATCTGAGTACACTGTTCTGTCTTCAGATACACTAGTTGAGGGCATTGATCCCATTATAGATGGTTGTGAACTACCTTGTAACTAGTTGCTGGGAATTAAACTCAGGACCTCTGGAATAGCAGTCAGTGCTTTTAACTGCTGAGCCGTCTTTCTAGCCCAGTAGTGGGTTTGTTTGTTTGTTCTGAGACAGGGTTTCTCTGTGTAGTCCTGGATGTCCTAGAACTCACTCTGTAGACCAGGCTGGCCTCAGACTCAGGGATCTGCCTTCTTCTGCTGAGTGCTGGGATTAAAAGCATGTGCCACTGTGCCTGGCTTTATAAGTAATGTTTTTATTAAACTTGTTACTAATTTTCCTTTTCCTTTTTGAAGTCTGTTAGAATCATCAGTGAAGGGAAGTATATTGCTAATATAAAAAAAATTAAAAAAATTTTTTTTGTAATGAGCTATTAAAAAAGCAACACTTTAGTTATTGGTGAGAATTTTCCTTGTGTCCAAAATCTTCCTTATTCATATTTTTTTTTAAAAAGTGATTTATTTTTATTATTTTTAGTTGTACATATTTGTGTGTCTGTGCACATGAATGTAGGTGTCCACAGAGTTCAGAAGGTTTTAGATCCTTAGGAAGTAGAGTGACAGGAAGCTGTGAGCCACCCAACATGAGTACTGAGAATCAAACTCAGGGCCTCTGCAAGAGCAGTGCCTACTGTTAACCACTGAGCCGGCTCTCTGCCCCACCATAGATTTTCAGTCATTCTTTTTATTATTTATTTAAATTCTTTGGGGGAGGGAACATAGATATTCTGTCTAGTACTAGTGCCTCAAATTTGTAATCCTTCCGCTTCAGAATCCTGAGTCTTGAGGTTATGGGCATGCACCATCATACCTGGCTCATTCATTTCTGATCCAGAGAAGCTTATTTGGGGCAGGAAAGAAGAACCTTTCCGTGCCTACTGTGTAATTATTTGCCATAAACATGTGACTATGCCGTGTTTATTCTTGTATATTCTCAGTTATGGCATTTTGTGTTTTTTAAAATCTATTTTTATTGTTTGTTTATGAAGTTGAGAATGGAACCCATGTCTTTGAACATGGTAAATAAGTGCTCTACCACTGAGCTGCCAGGGTCCAGCCCAGCATCACGGAGTAAACTGAGGCTGTGACACCAACCCCTGTAGAACCTGTGTGACAAGTTCCACAGACTGAGGGGAAAACTTCAAAAGAAGGAGCCCTCCTGGAACTGGTTGTGGAACTCTTTCCTGGAGCAGTAGTTCTTATGACAGTTTATCTGTTTTCTTTTCTTTTATTCCTTTTCTCATTTATGAAATGTTCCTGATAGCCTAGGCTAATATCTTTTTATTGTTTTTGTTTTGTTTTTTTCGAGACAGGGTTTCTCTGTATATCCCTGGCTGTCCTGGAACTCACTCTGTAGACCAGGCTGGTCTTGAACTCAGAAATCCACCTGCCTCTGCCTCCCAAGTGCTGGGATTAAAGGCGTGCGCCACCACCGCCCAGACCTAGGCTAATATCTTAAGTGAGAAAAATGAGTAAGAAACCGTCCCTTGAGATGGGGTCACTAGCCATGACCTTATGGAAAACCAGAGCTTTATTTCATGAATCATTTACAAAATTACATAACAGTATTATGATAGATAAAAACTTTCCCAACAATAAAATCTCATATGGCTTCCTGTGTGTCATCAGAAGTGAGTTTTGGTATATGGTAAAGAAAGCCTTAAATAAAAAGAATTAAAATAGTTTAAATTTATGTTTTGAAGATTTACAAAAAAAAATCAGGCACTAGATGTTAAACAATAGCTGGCCATAAAAATTTATTAACCTGCTCTTGGATATATGCCACTAGCCTTGGATGACTGCCCCACTGAGTACACCCTTTCAGAGTTGTAATACCTGGATGATTCTTATTGTGCCAAATACCAATGATGTTACCTGTTCTGTCCATGATTGCTTTCCTGGATACATCTTTTTAGAGTTGTAGTACTTGGGTGATTTTTGTGCTTTACTGTGCCAAATGATGTTATCTGTCCTATTTGTGATTGCTTCACTGAATACATCTTTTCAGAGTTGTAATATTTGTTTTTTTATGAATAAAAACCCTTGCTTGAGAACTGCAAAATACACTCAGATTCAAACTGCCTCTGTGTTTGTTTCTGTTTGCCACTCCCAAATCCTTACCCACCTAGCCTTCGAGGATCCTTGTCCTAGGGACCCCCATACCCGACTAGGGTAGTCCATGGTATGGGCAGACAGTGAAAGGGGAGTGTGGGGTCAGGCAGAGTGAAATGTTTGTCAGGTCCTTAGTCACTATCTGCATAGATAGATAACCGTACCAGAACATTAGGAATGCCTGCTTCCACCGCATTCTCCTGATGCTTTGCCTGCCAGTTAAGAATATGATCATGGCCAGGTGTGGTGGCCTGTGCCTTTAGTCCCAGCACTTCCGACATAGAGATAAGTGGATCTTGAAATTTGAGGCCAGACTGGTCTACAGAGTGAGTTCTAGGATAGCCAGACAACACAGAGAAACCCTGTCTTGATCCCCCTCTCCCCCTAAAAGAATATGATCATGGGACTAGAGATGTAGGCTGGTGGCATTCGTCTAGTGTGAGGGAGGCACTGGGTTCTAGCCCCGTCATTACAGAAGTGAAAAGACACCAACTGCATGTTAGTGTTTGGTCCATGATGGTTTGTGTATGTGATGGTGGTCCTATAGATTATAATAGACTTGAAAACTTTATTTAGTGACAGTATAGCCACTTAGATTTTAACATACGGTTTGGTGATATTAGTATAAACAGAAAGTTTTATAAAAATGTAGCACATGCAATTAAGGATAATACATAGTACTCGACAGTGATAGATACGTACTGGGGATGTTGGTTTCTGTATTTAGTGTAGTTCTGTCATTAAAGTTTTTACTACATTTATTTATGTGTGTGGACATTCCAGTGTCGTGGCATTCATGTGGAGGGAGACCCATGGGAGTGTACCCTCTCCCTTCACCACGTGTGTTCTGGAGATGAACTCAGGCCGTCAGGCTTGACCCCTTTCCCTGAGGGGCTGAGCCAGCTCACAGCCCTTTATCACTTGAGTTTGTTTTTCCAAGACAGGGTTTGTCTGTGTAGTCCTACCTATCCTAGAACTTGCTCTGATGGAGACCAGCTCACAAAGACTCCTTAATGAACGGACAGACTATTGCTCTGGTAGCAAGTTTTTACTTCAGTAGTGAAAGTTATAATGAAATTACAATACCATCTCTTTACTGATTACAATAACATCTTGTGTGGATAAAAGCCATCATCCTGGGAACCTTCAAAGAAACACATTCTCTCGACTCTTGACAGCATTCCAAGATTTAAGGAACACATTATCTCAGCCTCCAGGCTACCTCAAAGTGTGTTTACCTATTCCCTGGAACATGGAGGTAACTGCAAGGCATGCTGAGAGTTATGTTAGGACACCCATCCCTTTCAGGAGGGACAGCCCCTGAACTCTCCCCTAGAATCCCCAGCTAACCCTTTCAGGCCAGCAGAGCAGGGTGTAGCCAGCAGTTCTCCTCATTGCCCTGTAGACCAGGATGGCCTCAAAAATCAGAAATCCTCCTAGCCTCTGCCTTCTAGGTGCTGGGAATGAAGGTGTGCGTCACCACTGCCCAGGTTTTTGTTTTGTTTTTTTTGTTTTTTTCTGTGTCAGGGTTTCACATATAGCCATGGTTGGTTTGTATATTAGGGTTCGCTAGAGGAACAGGATTTATAGAATGGATATACATATACATATACATATACATATACATATACATATACATATACATATACATATACTGATTTATTAGAGTAGCTTACAGGCTGTGGTCCAGCTAGTCCAACAATGGTTGTGTACTGCTTGTCCAGTCCATGAGGCTGGAAGTCTCAGCTGGTCTTTAGTGTACATCAGAATCCCCAAGAAGTAGGCTTTAATGACACTGAAGGGATGGGCTTGCTAGCAAGGTGAAGGAGGCAAAAAGCAAAACCTTTCTTCTCTGTCCTTTACACAGGCTGCCAACGGGTATGGCCCAGATTAAGGGTGGATCTTCCCACCTGAAAGACCTGGATTAGAAGTGGGTCTTCCTACTTTAAAAGTTTTAATTAAGAAAAAAAATCCCTCACAGATGCACCCAGCTGCTTGGGTTTCAGTTAATTCCAGATACAGTCAAGCTGACAACCAAGTATAGTCCTCACAGCCTGGAACTCGAGGTGTAGACCAGGCTGGCCTCAAACTAACAGAGTTTAAGTCTGCTTGCTTAGGCCATCCAGGTATGGAATTAAAGTCATATGTCACCACACCTGGCTTTATTATTTTAAAGTGCTTTCTTTATATTTAAAATGTTAAATGTTAAGTCATGGTCGGTGGTACCTCTCTTTAATCCTATCACTTGGGAAGGAGAGGTAGGCAGATTTCTATGAGTTCAAGGCCAGCTAGCATAAGTTGAGACTTTGTCTTTTTTTTTTTTTTTTGGCTTTTCAAGTTTTGATTTTTATACAATTTTTTTGTATTAAAAAGAAAACCATAATTGCCACCAATTACAAAGGACTAGAGCAGGTCCAGAATAAAGAATGAATCACTTCAGCCTGGGATAGACCTTGTCTTTTTAAAAAAGGAACAATGGGATAGCTTCAGGCAAGTCTTTCAGGAGATATTCCAGTAGA